AGTCAACTGTAATCAGACCAGTAATAACACGTGCCAGTCAACTGTAATCAGACCATTAATAACAAATGCCAGTCAACTGTAAACAGACCATTAATAACAAATGCCAGTCAACTGTAATCAGACCAGTTTTAACATATGCCAGTCAACTGTAATCAGACCAGTTTTAACAAATTCCAGTCAACTGTAATCAGACCAGTAATAACATATGGCAGTCAACTGTAATCAGACCAGAAATAACATATTATGCCAGTCAACTGTAATCAGACCAGTAATAACATATGCCAGTCAACTGTAATCAGACCAGTAATAACATATTATGCCAGTCAACTGTAATCAGACCAGTAATAACATATGGCAGTCAACTGTAATCAGACCAGTAATAACATATGCCAGTCAAACTTAGACCCTAACAAAAACACATTGGAAAGAAATGTTCTCCGGAAAATATCCAGACCAATAAAGGATAAACATGGATGGAGAATATGAACCCACCATAAATTGTATGGACCATACCAGGGTCCCACACTAGTAGCAGAAATAAAAAAGGACAGGCTGCACTAGGCAGGACATTTAGAAAGAATGCCAAACATGTTATTTTCCTTCATGTCGTAGAATATGAGAGACTATCCATGTAGGACAGGCAGGAGTGGATAAAGTTGGGGCTTTCATAAAGATATTTTTAGTGGTAGAGGTATTTATTTATTAAATTTAATTAAAAGCAACACAAATAGAAATGATGACGCGGCTACAAATATAGTAAAATCATTCAAGTCCCACTTCAACTGAGTTAGATATGGGCTTGTGTGATTTATTTTTTATGAATACTAATTAATTCATCTTTAGTAAAAATCTTCAACTCTTTGGTCTATTAACCTTCCAGGTCCACCTCATGCTGCCACCAACCTGACGTCAGTAGAGGCCAGACATGACTCGGTCAAGTTGTTCTGGTTTCCTGGTTTTAATGGCGGAGAATTGCAAACATTCTCTGTAGAGTTTCGTCCCTTTATTCCAACAGTATGTCATTTATATACCATTCTCTGCAGAGTTGCGGCCCTTTACTCTGTTTTAGAATCTTTTCTATACTCGGCACCTCGCTAAAAATTTTCTTTTACTGTTTCGCACATCCCTCCCCCCACTCCCACCCCTAAAAAATAAAAATTTCTTTTTGCAATTTGAAAATAATTGATTCCTAATTTATTTATTGAATTGCAAAGAGAATTACAGAACTTAGAAAATAAACTTGTGACTTATTACAAGAACCAAAATGTTCATAAAAGTAAAATTTCAAAATATATTTTCACTTATATAAAAAATTTCAAGTTGTATTTTCTGTTATATCAAAAATGTCAAAATATATTTTCAATTATATCAAAAATGTCCAAATGTATTTTCTGTTAAATGAAAAATGTCCAAATGTATTTTCAGTTGTATCAAAATATTCAAAATATATTTTCAGTTTGTCCCTATGGTCCAACTGTATGTCATTTAAATAACGTGAAATATTTTAATGAGTCACTGTCATTGTTATTCCATCTGAACAATGTTGAAGGCATTGCTGCTGGTGTTACTCAGTAGTTCTTGGAATCCAAGGTGTTCTTATGTCTATGAAGAATAAGTTGTGTTTATGTCTACGTATTATGTTTGTCTGTGTCTATGTATAACATGAAGTGTCTGTGTGTAAAAAGGTGTCTTTTTCTGTATATTATTAAGCATGTCTGTGTCCATGTTTAAACTGGTAAACTGGTCTCTGTAAACTGGTATGTTAGAGATAGTGGACCAGACCTGTTTACTCTTACGATTTTGGCGTACAATGTACAATTTTGAGGTGTATACTTTTATATACTGTATGTTTATTTTTTTTTTCTATTAAGATATGTATTGAACGATTTTGTGAAGATCTTGTATGATTTTAAGAGTTTGAGGGTAAACAGGTCTGGTTGAGGTATAGACCTTATGGGTCATGGACAGTAAGAGAGGTGGTATCATCTTGTAACATTGTTACACAGTTGTTCTAGTTTTAAATGACTTTGGCCTGTGCATATGACAAAGTTAGTGATCTGTTCCAATGTATGGGGTATTTGAGATTAAGGCAACCCTGTGTGTAAATATAAGTTACTGTTGAGGCCATAAGCCATATAATCAGTAAAAAGTGAGGTGACATCTTTATTACTCATCCAAATAGAAGGATCTAGCTACAAATTATATTTGCTAATTATATGAAAGATAATAAAATTTAACTGAAATATATGCATGAGATAATCACCTGACCCCCCCCCCCCCCCCCCTTGAATCCTTTTACATAGCAGTTGTGATGGTGATGGTTGTGGGTGGGGGCTGGTGGTTAGACATAAGAGAATAATAGAATTTCTTTTTTTAAAATAAGTACAAAATTAAAGTTTACACCATTAATAATAAAACAAGCAAATAAACTAACTGATCACAACATTATATGAGATTAATATTAACCCTTTGTTGTCATCAATCAACTGATCACAACATTTCATGATTTTTATATTAAACCTTTGATGTCTTTAACCAACTGATCACAACATTTCATGAGTTTTATATTAACCCTTTGATGTCTTTCAGACTGAGTCCTCGTGGAGGCTGGCGCTGTCTGGAGTTGAAGATTTAAACTTAAATAACATGTGGACTGAAGCTGTCGTCACACAACTGAGTGCCAGCACAGATTATGAAATGAGGGTGGTTTCTGTCAATAGACTTGGTGAAGTCAGGTCTGACATTATAAGGATACAAACTACAGGTAGGAAACATCAGATTAATGGGGAACAAACTAAAGATAGGTAATGTTAGAATGTTAGTATGAACTACGGGGAGGTAAGATTAGATGAATGGAATAATTTCAACTACAGTTTAATAGTTTACACATTTCTTAAGGAAGTCTCTAAAAATATGTTCCCAAAGCCTTCTAAAGGTGTGTCATTAATAGAAACTATGTTCTCTTTTTAAACTAGGCAGTATTTTAAAATAATGAAAATAATGAACTTCTCTTCAGCTGCCCCGGAAGAATCTCTGAGTGCAGGTGCCACAGCTGGGATTGTAATAGCTGTCCTTATCATTATCATTCTAGTGGTTGTCATTCTCTACATATTTGTCTTCAGGAAAAGATGGGGTAAGTCTGAGCTCTTGGGGGATAACTAGTGAACATTTGTAAGTTTGATCTCTTGGGGGATAACTAGTGAACACTAGTAAGTCTGATCTCTTGTGGGATAAATAGTGAACACTAGTAAGTTTGATATGGAGACGAATGTAATATAGGATTTTATGTCAATAGATACACATTATTATTTTAAGATAATATTTATTCATTCCAAAAATAATGGATAGTAAATAGAATGCTGTCATTTATTGCAGTTATATAACGAATCGTGATTTAAAAAAGCCACATCTTTGCAATGTAGTAAATTTTTACACAGAGCTGCATCGTAATTAAAGTTTAAACATATTTAGTGATTTATTTCATTTCATGAATTGAAGCTGGTCAAAAGGAACAATCGGCCACAAATGGAAATGAGCATATTTACACTGAAGCGGTTGAAAAAGATGAAAAAAGTAAGTTTAATAGCGACATTGAAGTTATTGAAAAAGATGAAACAAAGTAATTTTAATAGCGACATTGAAGTTATTGAAAAAGATGAAAAAAGTAAGTTTAATGGCAACAAAATGACAACATCTAAAATTTAAAAAAAAAAAAAAAATATTTCATTTAATCTGATTTGTTTTCTGTCATCTTATTTGTTGCTATTTTATTCTTTATCTAAGTTAGTACTAACTCTCTACACAAAAAAAATTTACTGACTTTAATCATTAGATGTTGCCTTAATTTTTTAAATTCTGCCTAGGCTGCTCATTGACAAGTGCATGTTGTACACGGAAAAAAGGTGAAATATTTACTAAAAATGTTAAAAGTTGAAATCCAAAAATAAAAAGGATCTTTTTGCATTCTGTATTATAGAAGTTATTTATTAAAGCATACTTTGGCACATTTTGTAGTTTTTTGTGTGTCTTGTTTTTTTTTCTTCTACTTATTGAATAGTTGGATATATTATAAAACTTAAATTACATTCAAGCAATTTTAGTTTTTGTTGTACTGGCATAAGCTGAATCATTTGAATATTGTCTTTTAATTAACTATAATATTTTATATACACAAATTGTTAAAAAAAAACATTTTCTTTTTGCTGAACAATACAGGGAAATAAATTTGGTAAATAACAAAGAATGGAGTGCAATAAAACTATTTTAAATTATATTGTAGTCCATGTACATAGACGCATACATTTTAAACCACTTTAAGCCACTCAGCCATAATTTAGAATTTCATGAACAGAGTTATGGACCTGCTCGTGGCAACATTACACACCCACATGCTCACAAAACCAATTTTAATATCCTTATCTACTAAAAAGTTTAATTAATAATTGCTCTATAATTTCACAGATTTCTCTGATGACCACGAATACATTGAAATTATTGAAACTCCATTGAAATATTCCAAATGTAAGTACTACTTCCATTGCCGACAGGATCAAAGATGGCAGTCAATATAATTTTCTTGTTGTCATGAGGTTTACTGGAAGAGATGAGGTGGCGTACATATGGAATACATATAGTGAAAAGATTTGTTTAAATATATGCAGTTAAAAACCATACTATTAGAGCCTATCCTAAGAATATCTGAGAAAATGTATTATTTTTCAGCCCGTTATGACGAGAATCACGACTACATAGACGTTGTGGAACCTCCCAGTGAAACTTTTAAAAGTGAGTCAGGCCTACGTAGTTTAGTGACAGAAATGAAAATGATTATAAAACAGAAGGCAAGTAATTTTGCAAAAGAAGTCATTGATATTTATTTAATGTATAAAGAATTACCCACAACCCCATTTTCCCCCCAGCTTTGTTATTGAATTTACACACAATATGATAATAGGGAAATGTTTATAGATTCACAAATTGAATTAAAATTATAAATTTTTCATAATTAACTAAGGTATTTATTATATAGTGTATGGTTTTCAAAACTTATGTTCATTCTCAAATTACATAACATTTATGAATCTTACATACTTTAAGTAGTTGTTGTCGTATACTAGAAATAACTTGCCAAACAATGGTGGTGGCAGTGCATGAACGTCCCATCTACTCAAATTACTCTCAACAAATCATGCATTCAAGTAACGCACTTTAAAATAATCCGATTTAATGCTAAGTTCAGGGAACTTTATCTCACTTGCCCATTGAACACAGAGTTACAGCCATGCATAGAGAGCTAAAGAATTGTTATTTTTGATTGGATTGGTTTAAAAATGTATAGGGGGAAATGAAAAAAAATATGTTTTTTTAGATGGAGAATGGATGAGTGATCCAACCTTCAACACAGGTCAATGACCCGAATTCCACTAATGGCACCTTAATGTAATTGTTATTATTTTTATTCTATTTATACAGACCACAGCTATGTCAATAAAGAGGTAATCAAGCGAATTTCACAAGAACATAAACGCAAGTTAAAGTCAAGCTCGTAGATGGAAGCAGTCGGAAAGTAAAAATAAAACTTTTCAAAGAGGATATCACCACAGAGCTTTGCTATTTCTACCAGGGACCCGCTGGCACATGGAAACCGATGACGAACGGTGTGGTAAGAAAGGCCCGGAGGCCCGCCCCCCGCACACCGGAGATTGTAACAACTGCCCATCAAGGCACATGACGAATGCTTGTCACGTCGTCGTGGGCCAGCACGTCCATGATTTCTACCCTCGCTTCACCGTGGTACAGTTTCAAACTATGCCATGGAAACAGTACCCATTATTGCGAATGAGAACTGGACATATGAGATCTAGACAAATGAGAATTTGAAATATGAGAACTGGATATTTGAGAACATGACATATGAGAGACTGGACATATGAGAACTGGACGTATGAGAGACTAGACATATGAGAACTGTACATATGAGAACTGGACATATCAAAAGTGGACATATGATAACTGAACATATGAAAAATGTACGTATGAGAACTGGACACTTGAGAACTGGACATTTGAGAACTAGACATATGAGAACTGGACATATGAGAACTTGACGTTTAAGAACTGGACATATGAGAACTGGACATATGACAACTGGACTTATGAGAACTGGACATATGAGACTTGACCAAATGAGAACTGGACATATGAGAACTGTACGTTTGAGAAGTGGATGAAATGCTGCATTATATTAATCTTTTGTTTACATTTAAAATGGTTGCTAATTTTCATGTACATTAAATAATAAAATGTGACATTATGCATTAAATTTTGACATTTTTAATGTGCATTTCTGTGTAAATGTGTATTTATGAGTACCCAGTATTCATGTGTAAATTGAGATGCAAGACTTGACCACCCAGAAAACAAACAAACAAACAAAAAGACAGACAGACAGAACAACCTACAATACAAAAATATACCACCAATCTTTCAAATGCCGTCCATTGACGATAGGCGCTCCTGTTTTTGTCAAATATCAGTTGGCTAATTTATAATTCATGGGAAAAAAAAATTAAATTTAATATTGCATCTATCAATCAATGAATTGACGCGCCACAAATATAACTTAAGCCTATAAACAAAGTACCGCGCCATGTTCCCGCCACATCCCAAATCCTAGCGGGTATAGGCATAAATACATTTATGATAGACTATTATATAATTGACACTTTTTGGTCCCACCCCCTTGACGTTGGCGTCCTGGGTGACTGCCCCTTAGCACCCCGCCTCCTTTCGCACGTGCGTGCCGGCAACTTTGACTATTAATAACTCTGACCTGGAAACAAAGAGAGCGGAATGGGAGCTGATGCTACACATGCCAGTCCCGGCTGTGAAAAATGGTGAGAGAAGCTACTTTAATCCGGACAATTATTGTCTCTATCTTTTGACAGTGTTTCTTTGTTTGAGATGTGCTCATCAAGTGTGTCATGTACCGGTAACAGGATTCGGGGGTTGGGTGGTGCCAGTAACCAGAGGCGTGGCTAAGGGATGTAGAGGGGACGGACGTCCCTGGGCGCCAGACTAGCGGGGGCGCCAAATTTGGCTTTGAAATTATTTACTGGATGCAAATAATGGGTTTAATTGATGGGAAAGGGGGGGGGGGGCGTAAAAATGAATCTTGTCCGCTGGCGACAAGTACTCCAGATACGCCTTTGACAATGGCGTAGAAAGGGGGTGGATGGGTTTGTCCGCCTATGAGTCATTTTTTTTTCTTTTTTTTTGGAGGGGCTGCATTTTCAGACAACTTCAGAGTTTGTATCGTGGAAGGTAGTGCGGCAAACATGGCACGACCATGGTAGCACTAACACTGGCTAGTCCACTCGGCAGTGTATCTATCAGCACTAACACTGGCTACTCCANAATTTCACAAGAACATAAACGCAAGTTAAAGTCAAGCTCGTAGATGGAAGCAGTCGGAAAGTAAAAATAAAACTTTTCAAAGAGGATATCACCCCAGAGCTGTGCTATTTCTACCAGGGACCCGCTGGCACATGGAAACCCGTGACGAACGGTGTCGTAAGAAAGGCCTGGAGGCCCGCCGCCCCCCCCCCCCGCACACCGGAGATTGTAATAACTGCCCAAAAAGGCCCATGACGAATGCTCGTCGCGTAGTCGTGGGCCAGCACGTCCATGATTTCTACCCTCGCTTCACCGTGGTACAGTTTCAAACTATACAATGGAAACAGTACCCATTATTGCGTATGAGAACTGGATATTTGAGAACAGGAGATATGAGAACTGGACATATGAAAAGTGTACGTATGAGAACTGGACACATTTAAGAACTTGACGTTTAAGAACTGGACATATGACAACTGGACATATGACAACTGGACATATGAGACTTGACCAAATGAGAACTGGACATATGAGAACTGTACGTTTGAGAAGTGGATGAAAGGCTGCATTATATTAATCTTTTGTTTACATTTAAAATGTTTGCTAATTTTCATGTACATTAAATAATAAAATGTGACATTATGCATTAAATTTTGACATTTTTAATGTGCATTTCTGTGTAAATGTGTATTTATGAGTACCCAGTATTCATGTGTAAATTGAGATGCAAGACTTGACCACCCAGAAAACAAACAAACAAACAAAAAGACAGACAGACAGAACAACCTACAATACAAAAATATACCACCAATCTTTCAAATGCCGTCCATTGACGATAGGCGCTCCTGTTTTTGTCAAATATCAGTTGGCTAATTTATAATTCATGGGAAAAAAAAATTAAATTTAATGTTGCATCTATCCAGAGGCGTAGCGTGGTGGGGGCAGGGGGGACAGATGTCCCTGGGCGCCAGCTAGTTAGTGGCGCCAAAATGTGCTTTGATATTATTTTATTGATCAAAATAATGGGCTTGAGAGTTGAAAAAAAGAAAAAGGGGCGCTTTAAAATGAATCTTGTCCCCGGGCGCTAAACACCCTCGCTACGCCTCTGCATCTATCAATCAATTAATTGACGCCCCACAAATATAACTTAAGCTTATAAACAAAGTACCGCGCCATGTTCCCGCCACATCCCAAATCCTAGCGGGTATAGGCATAAATACATTTATGATAGACTATTATATAATTGACACTTTTTGGCCCCACCCCCTTGACGTTGGCGTCCTGGGTGACTGCCCCTTAGCACCCTGCCTCCCTTCGCACGTGCGTGCCGGCAACTTTGACTATTAATAACATTGACCTGGAAACAAAGAGAGCGGAATGGGAGCTGATGCTACACATGCTAGTCCCGGCTGAAAAAATGGTGAGAAAAGCAACTTTAATCCGGACATTTGTCTCTATCATTTGACAATGTTTCTTTGTTTGAGATGTGCTCATCAAGTTTGGATTATACCGGTAACAGGATTAAGTCATGCTTTGAGTGTGAAGTTGAATAAATAATAGAGAGTATTGACTTTTTGTATTGCCTCCATATGTCACGCGATGGGTCTGACAGAAAACTATTACAGGAATAAAATCTCCTAGTATCCAGTGGCGTAGCGAGGGTGTTTGGCACCCGGGAACAAGATTCGCACCCGGGGACAAGATCCCTTTTTAGCGCCCCTTTTTCTTTTTTTTCAACTCCCAAACCCATTATTTTCATCAATAGAATAATATCAAAGCACATTTTGTCGCCCTTAACTAGCTGGCGCCCGGGGACATCTGTCCCCCCTGCCCCCACCACGCTACGCCTCTGCTAATATCACATCTATAACACATTTAATCACATCAACCATAATGATAAAAACATCAACATCCTTTTCTTTGAAATATACTTTGAAGTTTACACTTGAAATTTGATTAAAATTTGTACATAATCAGTGGTGCACCAAATGGGGCGCGGGGAGCGGGGCGCGAAGATGGGGGTCTTGAAATTCTTGGTGTTTTCATGTTTAAAAAGTAATAGAATAATGTAATTTTTTTGTGCATAAAAATCTGTACGCTTAATTAATTGATCATTTTTCCTTTCGTGACATTTAGTAGAAGACTTTCCGATAGTGCAGAAAAGTCGTTTACTTAGTTTAATTCTATTTAATCAGCAGTTGGAACTGTTTAACGCTTGCACCAGCTGCGTATTGAAGACATAGTCTTCTATATAATAAATAATAATAATAATAATAATAATAATAAGGGGTATTATTTGGCGCGGTACCCCAGCCTAGGGCTGGGCTCACCGCGCTGTACATACAATGCCATTTGTGAACCGTCAGAGAGTCAATGAATACATTCAAAGGTGAAGCTTTATTTTTGATTATTATTTTGTATTTATAATAACCCATATCTTTGCCTAGTCAAGCACAGTTGAAATATTGATGTTATTATGGCTGAGCAGGTCCGTGTTGATACAGAGGAGGCCGTTGGTTTTATTCCATTGAAGGGATGAATTTTAATAATTGCTGAAACAAACAACGCCTATGTTGTAAAAGAGACAGAACTTGACAGAACGTGGTAGAACATAATAGAACATCATATAATATGATGTTACTTGATAGAACATAATTAACCACGATGCAACATTATGGAACACTAGAATAAATGACCCGATGTCATCGGGGTAATAACCGTAGGTCCATTGCGATAATTTCAAATGTGTAAATGATTGGTTTTTGATATTCATGGGAAGACTTATATAAATGTACCCATGATTTGTTAACGCTTTTGATTTTCTTAATCGGTAAACATGTGTTTATTTCTAAAAAGGGAATGTAACATCTCTTTTATCACAAATGTAATACCATAGGACTTATCTTATTTCCTAGCTCCGACATGTACTTACTTAGAAAATTAATTATTTATCAAAATCATTCCTTTATTTTGAGACGCATCTTGTGCTGCGAAATGAACATACCCATATGTGTAAAAAGAGAATGTAGCATCTCTTTTTTCCACAAGTGTAATACCATAGGATTTAAATATATTGTCATCCACGAAAAATGTACACATCCTATTTCCTACCTCCGATATATATGTACCCAAGAAGGTTATTTTTTATCAAATTTATTCCTTTATTTTGAGATGCATCTTGTGCTGCCTGGGGCAACGTGACCAACCCCTCCCCCCCCCAACCCGGATTTAAATAAAATTAGAAAATCTTCCACCGGATTGTAGTCCCTTCCATACACCAAACTAACATATTTTCGCAATTCATATGGTTCATTCTTATTTGTAGGAGTTATAAGTGGATTAGTGAATGCTATTTATAGCTATGGAGTTGCGCTTTACTGATGCCTTAAACGGCATTTTCTTATTAGAAGTCTTATTTAAAGGTTAAGTTTATATTACGTTATAAATTCAATAAAAGTCTATTTTTGGAATTAAAAAAGTAAAACATATTAAATGTTCAAAATACTAAGCTAAAATTGTATGTGTTTTATTAACATTTTAAAGAGCAATCAATTAAATTTATAAATTTTACTTTTAAGAAGGGGGAAATACTTTATCAGTTTTTTAACGCGCGGTTATTAAATCAAAGAAATTTTAGAGTTTTGGCGAAAATTGGCGATTCGCGCTATGACGTCATTTGCGTGTTTATTAAGAAGAAATAAAGTTTAATTTTATTTCGCAATATTAACAACGCACTAAAAACAGCGAATGTTTGGGTTTTCCCAATAAATGTGATTACGATGAAATTCTTAGATCATAATTTTATTATGAAGTTTTTTTTTCATAAC